CAATGCAACAGATTTATTTTCAATGTATGTAAATAAATTTAGCATCAAAGTGTAGTTTATAACCCAAATTAGTATATCTAAGTTTTAAATTCTTAATTTCAAAAGAAAATATTTTGAAAAATTCTCAATCCTCACTTCTCTGTCACATGACGTCTTTGATCTGAATTTTTCCATTATAGATTTTACATCTTCCCTAATACATCTTCCCTGACCAATTTAACCTCCTACTTTCTTGACTTTTTACGATATCAATAAATTTGTCAAACGTACACAGAGAAGCCATTTACATCTTTTCAAACGACCATCACAGAATTGCTTGCCCTCTCAACTGTGGGGGGCATTATAATGTGATGGTCAATCCCACTATTCATTGGTAAATGAGTAGCCCAAGAGTTGGTGGTGGGTGGTGTTGACTAGCTGCCTTCCTTTTAGTCTATCATTGCTAAATTAGGAATGGCTAGTGCAGATAGCTCTCGTGTAGCTTTGCACAAAATTCAAACCAAACCTTCCATCTTTTCATAGCTTTCAATACAGTTTTCTTAACCATTTTTCCTTACTCGATGGATTTTATAACCCATGGAAAGAGCATTTTTTCTTCTCTATTGAGCTTACAACCAAACTTTTGACAAGCTTTAATGTCACTACAGAAAGTCTTTCCCCGAAGAAGATAAGGGTTGATGTATGTTGAACAAAGTTGTTGCTTGTAACAGTGACATAATTTTTTTAACTTATTTATAGTTTAGTTAGAAACCCAGTGAAATTATAGTAGTTTTACAACATTCTATTCTATTGCATGATATATTTTTTTATTCTAAAATGCATATTTGAAAGGTATATTAATTTTTGTGTGTATGGTAACATCAATCACCCATAGTTGGATGGCTCAATTACTGTGATTTTTGGAATGTTAGCTAGAAATTGTCTAATGGTGTATGTGGGCTATTTTGTTTTTGGATTTTTACCCAAGAAGGGTATTAAAAAAACCTGAAATAAGATATATTTCAGTTTTTGTTTTTAACTTTTGGCTTTGAATTTTAAGACAACAAATACTTAATTAGTAGATAAGTTTATTATTACCATCCACAATGCAGGGTATGCAATTAGTATCTATTGGGGTTTTTAGAGATTGAATAAAAAAAGAGAAACATTATTTAAAATTCTTTTATACAATTTTTGCATCCTTAATGGGTACTCTCAACTTGTATGAACAGCAAGTATGTGATTGATAATCTAAATATACATGGTTTTCTTTTAGCAATGTAATGTCACATCAATTTTTTTTCATAATTCAGGAAGTCCAGTTGATATCATTGTTTTTGACACTTTTTATTTCATTAGGGAATATATATATATATTAAGTTATTGTAATTCACACCTTAAAAAGTACTTTTATTTCAAAAACACAGATTTAAATAGCCATACATCTAATATCAGAGGAAAAAAATCTACATTTTAATTTTTTCTTTCATGTAAAAAAATCACATCATTGTAAAAAAAATTAAAGGCAAACCCTAACATCAGTTAATGTTTTATGGCATAGCACTTTTCTTTTCAGTGTTACTCCTTTTTTCTTTGACCATTAAAACTGTTACAGTGGAAATATGGATATCTAAGTTTAAACCAGTAGCGAAAGAGTTGGTTTAGACTTTAATTTTAATTTAAAACTTATTTTGTTCAAAACATTCAAATTCCTAATACTGAAAAGGTTACTACTGTTATTAAACATAATTATTTAACATTTTGTGATATGATCCATTATGCCATGTCTTGTAGCATCTTTGTACTTCAGGGTACCCCATAAACTCGCATACAGCACCTCAGAGAAAATCCTCAGTAATCAGAAATAAAATAATTAACAAAAATGGATGAAAAACTTAGCATAGCAGGTCATATAGTGAAAATTTAGAACAACAATACATTTTTTAATGAGCCATTACTGGAGGTTTAAAGCATGTCATGTTGATATCACTAGCAATATTAAACCAGTGCTATCAAAATTGATATTGTTGTTGCATGTTTTTCTTTTTTTTTGTCACAAATACAGACTTCTTTTCTACTTCTTGATTTAAACACTTATAGAGTATAATATATTTTATCTAACATTATGTGAGCTTAGAAAAGTGCTTATTGAAAATATTATATTGTTTTTTTTATAGTTGCTTTGTCAAGCTTTAATGTCACTACAGCAAGTCTTTCCCCGAAGAAACCACACAGCTGATGAATGGAGGAAAAGTCAGATGCTAAGCCTTGTTGCTGCTCCTACTCAGATGTTGAATCCAGCTCAAACAGACACTGTAAGAAACAGAATGAATAATATATTCAGTAAAAAAATTGTATGAGTTAATTTGTCTTAATGATATAATGTTTCTTAAAAATTGTGTAATGCATTATTTCCTTTTTTCACCTCAGCATAGTGTACTTGTACAATCACTGTATTGCACTTTAGCATTTACATTCTACCCTGTTTTGCTACTCTCCAAAAATGGTGTAGTATAGAGATACATATTTTTAAATAAAATTCCGTAAGTTTCTTTGTAAAATTTTAATTTTATACAAGCTTTCTAGAAGTAATACAAAGGATCCAGGAATCTCTTTTAATAGCTAATGTTAGTGTATTTTTTATTTTTATTAGTTTCACCACACCTCTTGCAACTTCATTCTCTCTGTTAAGAAGTAAGGGCAGTTATAGTTCTAATTGTTTTTTCTTCTTTCTTTAACCAGATTGACATGCACATGATTTGATGTTAATTTCACATCTGTGCAGAATTTTATTTTGTTTGAAGTTTAAGTTTTTTAACACATCGGGAAAATATGTTCCATAATAAACTTATCACATTTTTATTCCAGTTTGACCATCATAATAACATCAAATCAACAATTAGTTTAAATTAATGATTTAATTTTGGCTAATCAGATCTATCTATGTTCTGTTTTATAGTGAACTTTAAAGTGCTGCATTTGTTGTGAAAGTATGTTACTTATAAAACAAGAGTTGAGAAAGTTTCGTTATTGGGCTTTTCTAACAATTTTTAGACTATGTTTTTGATGGCTGTTAGTTCAAGAATGAAAATAGTAAATATTGTGTTACATTTACAGATACCATGTGAATACTTATCTTTAGAGAAAATGGACAGGTGGATCACATGTAAGTTTTTAACTAGATTTCCATGTATGCAAACATTTTTTTTTTTTTTTGCTAAAGTCATACTAGAAATAACAGCAATGTAATAATCACAGTTAACTATGTAAGAGAGAACTCATGCAGACTACATTGTTAAGCCTTCCATATAGGAGTTAGATTATGAAAAACATCCCTATAATGGGGAGAGGGCATATATTTTAGCTATATAATAGAATTTCATATCTATATACAATAGTAACTCAGTCATGGTCATATTGAAACAAAAAGAGCTGTCCTTAAAATTTTTATAGGGAGATGTTTTCATTTAAGTAACTTGAGTATTGAACTGTTGCTGTATCTTTGTGGGAGTAGTTTATAGAACATTGTTAAAAAGTAACTTTTTCCTGAAGAAAAGGTATAGAGAATTACACCCAAATAAGCATTGAAAAATATAACTGTGTCAAATCTGTATCTAGTTGTAGAATTTCCCTTTTTTTTTTTAATGAAGTTTATATAAAAAGAGGGAAAGATAAGCTCCCCAAATACACCCCCACCCATTTATCTTGGTTCTCTAAATATTCTACTGAGTGTCCAAAACTGCATCCAGAAATTAGCCAAAAAATATTAACAGATAGCCAGCACAAGAAATACATTAACAAAACAATTTTCGATACTAGCAGCAACACCTGAAACATGGCGCACCCACTAGTCCCCTTATTACATTTGTAACAATTAACATGTTTTGTGTTAACCATATGTGCGTCTTTCTTCTTGTTTCAGGTACATAGCTCAGTCACTACCCAGAAAGAATATTAAGCATCCAGGTAGTGAAAGTGGGTTTTTCTCGGAGTACTCTTGTTTTCCTCCCACATCAAAATTCTGGGTATAAGATCTATAGATCCCCACCTATTGTTTTTGTGCTACTCCCCAACCACGAGCCGCTTTCAGTTCCTTTCTCTCTTTGCTTGCCTAACCCTATGCATCATGACAGGCTATTTAAATTTTATATCAGGTTTGTTTGTTTCTTTGCAAGGCGATTTCCAAATTACCTTTCATCACATGCAGGGTGAAGAGAAATACATTTCTGAATACTCCTAGTTGCATTTGATTCAAAACTTTAGAATCAAATGTTTTAAATCAAATTACTATCATAAGTTTGTGGAAACTCCTGGAAGATTTGTTTTTTATTTTATTTTTACTTTTCTTTGGTGGCTCCATTCATTGCATATATCCTACAATAAAAAAGATTTATAATGTTTGGAGACGGCTTGAATGGGTAATGAAGAAAAACTTTAATATAAGTTTAACAACAGCAAATGTACAACGTTTCGACAAGGTTTGTCATCATCAGGTACAAGTAGTTTACATTAACACAAATATGTATATATATACACAGTATGGAACAAAGAGGTCATGTGAATGGATAATGTTGCACAACTTGGAAGAGATATCTTGGCACCCCAGGGTGTTGGTTTAGAGTAGGGTTGTTTTGTTCAATTACCCATTCAAGCCATTTCCAAACATTATTAGTCTCAAAGTAGATTCCTTGTCATTGAATTTTAATAAAAAAGATTTATTAATTCAAAAACTGGATTGCAATTTAAAGAATTAAATATTTGTGAAAATGCAATTAACATAGGTTTCAGATAAAGCAAAGTATAAGGTTTATATTTTATATAGAAAATTATTGTAATTTATTAGTGATGATAATTTTATTTAGGGTTTCATTAGGGAATAAGATAATATTTTTGTATGGATGCAAGTTTTATAACTTGTATATTTTCATCTTTTACTACTAAGAAAACATTAACTTAAATGTCAGCAATGTAGGTACAAAAACTGTACATTTAGGCACAACTTTTGTTTTACTAAAAATAAGTGATGGGTGGATGTAGTCTTAAAAAATTAAGAAAACATACAGCATGAAACTCATTATTACAGTTAATGTATTATCTTGTGTGCATGTTCTAGATTTACCTGTTAAACATTTAATTGGATAAAGCTTTTGGTTTCAGTTGGATTTATGCTGATTCACCAGTATTTGAGTCAACCTCCAGCTATGGACCTGTTCATGAAGGCCCTTCACAGTGGTTGGGTCACTACACTTTTCAGAGATGAAGTTCTTCACACCCATCTGTACATTCAACAGTTTTTTGAAACAATCAAAGGGTAAGCATTCAACATGTAAGTAGCTCAAAAAAAAAAAGTGTAGATTAGCTTAAAGTTAGAAGTTTATTATTAGGTGAAAGCTAATCCTGTACTACTGAATTTATCATTTTTATATAAAACACTTCTACCATGACTACTGAATATTTGTTGATGAAAATAAACATCACTTGGCAACATTGATTATAAATCAGACAAATATTAAACTTAACATTCTTAAGTATTAATTCATGTTACCCATGTACATGCCCTTTAAACAAATTTTCCCAGTATAGTAAGAGATGCTGCATGACCAGTCAGTCAGTAAGATAGAAAGCAATAAATCAAATAATTTACTGTACTAGGTTGTGTTTAAGCAGCACATGGCAACAACTAGATTGTTTTCTCTTTTCATTGCTTTCTATCATAATTAATCAGAAGTCCTATTTCAATCCACAAGAAGGACTTGCATGAATGTAGTTAATAGGAAAGTAACTTAGTATTAATACCATAGATTGAAATACTTAGTTTTAAATATTATTATGTAAAAAAATATAAGAATTCTTTATTTTTGCCTTATTTTTTATCATTTGGAAATTTATTTCAATCTATCAATTTTGTTTTATTGTATAAAATATAGTTTATATGTAAGTGATGAAAATCAGCACTGTACACCAATATTGAACTTAATATAAACCAGAAACAATACAATAAAATTGAAACTGAAAATTATGCCTCCATTATCATTCCTTGTTGTTGTCATTATCCTTTTACTTAAGGACGACAACAAGGAATGGAATGATAATGGAGGCATAATTTGAGTTTAAATTTTAATATATTGTTTCTTGGTTTTATTTATATATATATATATATATATATATATATAATAATAATAATACTTATAAGGCTTCATGACACTCACCCCCCCTCATGGCCCTCTTGCACATCGTCACTAAAACTGTAATGGATAGACAGAAATTGAACTATTCTATCTGGATAAATGCATTTTGGCTTTTATGACTCCTCCTATTTTGAGAAATCAAGTGTGAGGTGATGGACACACACTGGCTTTTATATAGGTTAGATATAGAAGTTATAGAATAAGTTGTGTTTTACTAAACCTATCCTAAGGATATAAAATGGTTCTGAAATATTTTCTTAACAATTGCTCTTAGAGAGCCTGTGTATATTATGACAAAAAACAACAGGATATTTCTTCTTTTAAATAATATTTGATCATTATTATTATCATACATAAAAAATAACTGACTAAAAATAAATCAAACTTAATTTAGCTCTGCTTTTCAAAACATGAAGTCGTTTCTTGCATCAATATTACTCCTTATATGCATAGGTTGGATTGGTTTGCCAGACAAAGGGTATTCACAGTCAAAAGATTTAAACGAAGCTCTACATGTCTATCATGTATATTATAATGGTTACTGAGCAAATAACAAAAATAATACATGTATTTCTCATTGTTTTAAAGTAGTTCAAATTAGAGGTAAGTATTCAGATATCTAAATGTGACTTTTCCTATTACATATATTTTGCACATGTTTTAAAAGTTTATGGCTGAGGGTAGGGCTCAAGCATCCAAACCTTCCCCTTAATTAGATGCACGTCTTAACTAATGTAACACTGGTTACATTTATAGTGCATAATAAGTAAGCAATATATTAAGTTAAAGTTACACTATTGTTTAGTCCAAACAAGATATAAACAAACAACAGACATTGCTGTGTCTAGTTATTTAACCAATGGCCACTAGGCCACACCCTCACATTTGTAAGTTGTATACAGAATGCATGCATAACATTGTGCCAAAGGAATTAGTAACACTACTAGCAGTCATGTCATCTTTGAGTTCATATGGTATTTATTTCAAGCTAAACAACTTTGAGTAATGGCAAAACTACTAAAGCTACCTGCTTTTGTCCCTAATTTTGTACTGCCAACCAAACCGAGAGCCAATGGCTGGCAAGCACGCATGCATTGCCCACTATTGGTCTACTCTCTTCACCAATGAATAGGTTTGATTGTTTTGTGCCATAATTACTTAATTTAAAATAATAATGAGAAATCATATTGGCAACATGTTCAGTTTTTGGTTACTGGATGGTTGGAATACTAAAACAGGAATAATCAGAAAACTCATTTTGATTAGTTGATTATTTTTTGTAACATTAATTAAATTAATTATAATTTTGATTAACTGCTTATTTCACATTAAACAAATCACTTATAATCGATGCTTATAGGTAATTAAGTTAATTGCGCGGCTACACATAGATTTAGAAAGGAGAAATTTTAATAAAGAATGAAATTAAGAGAGTACTTAAAAGAAAGTAAAATGTTTAACATTAAGCCAATACAAAGAATACAGCTTATCGTACAACTTAATTTTGAAAGTGTAAGTTGTAAAACTACAAAGTATAGAATGGTTATATAAAGTTTAAACATGGGAAGCAAATTTGAAGTATGTAAAACATGAACATTTTTCTGATATATGAGATAGGTAAGTCCATCTTTGTATGATAGAATGTTTTTTATATAGGGTTTTTATCTTTTAATTTTTCCCAGTTCTAAGTTTTGGTTGTGCATTTTCTGTATTTTGGAAGGAAGAGTGATGAAATTTGGGTTCTTACAGATTAACCAAAGCTAATGTACTGTATTAAACTGCAATGTATTATGTATATAGTGTAAATGTATTCTAAAAGTATATTTATGTGAAGCCTTTTAGACCAAATGTCACACTATTTTTATATTATATTGACAACATTGGGATTTTTCCCAGCTTAAAGATTGTATAATGACTACCTATATTAAAATTAATGTCTCGCATCCTTTTCATTTGGTTGAGACTGTAAACTGACACTGTCATCTAAACATTTTTCCACACTTAATAACACTTTGTATATATTTCTGTGCATAAATATGTACATGTGAATTTAAAGTTTGATGGTCTATAAATTATGTAAGTTTTCAAATAAATTGGTTTAGAGTGGCTTCTCTTACTTTAGTCTAACTTTTTAAAACTTCATAAATCAAATACTTCATGAAATTGTTTTATTTACTGATTGTCCATAATATTGTTATGTTGATTACCTATAGCATGACATTGTATGAGCAGTACTGTAATAGTAATTGTTTGTTGTCATTAAAGTTGTGAAAATCTGTCCATTTAGTTTAACTTTGGTAGGTGGTAATTGCACCTAATTCTGTTATCCTGTACCTTACAAGTCCCCTGATGGTTAGCAGTAAGCTAAACGAATTGTAACATAACAATTCAGGGCTCAATTCCCAAGGCAGACACACAATGCCTACAGCTTATTGTGTAACATTGCTCTAAAAGAAACTTATATCTAAAAATGGCTCTACTGTGCTTCTCAGTTTTTTACCCTCTTTTCAATTAAAATTTTTAAGCTATTAGACTCCTTTTAACATTGGATGAGCTGAGTAGACAAAATAGGTAACTTAACAGCTTTAATGATTCAAAGAATTCTTGATTTTTGTTCTAGTAAAAGATATTCTAAGCTTATGACATTTGCATCTTATAACTTTATAATTTTTAATTATCATAATCTGTTTACTAACAAACATTACCAGTATTTAAAAAAAACATCATTCTTATTATCAAGTGTTATGTTCTAAAAACTAGCACTCTTGGAGTAAAAAGCAGAGACTACATATACGTTGAAGAAGGAATACTTTTATTCATCTGAATCTTATAAGGTCAAATGCTAGCATTTTGATACATCAGATTTTACTCTGTCACAGTATATTTTTCCATAAAGATAAACCATCTGTGTACATACACTGTACATTATAGAACAGAACTTTTTAAAGGAATTTGTAAATAAATTCCTTCTAAAATGTTTGTATGTATTTTTCTGTCTGAATCTTGAAAATATTTCAAATTTTGTGTTTAATATATAGAGCTATTGACATAATTTTCCTGGCTTATATTATTTACCAAATCTATCTGTTTGTTATAGGTATAATAAACGTGTGTCAGAAATCAAAGATGCATATAATTTTGCACTTCAGAACTCGTAAGTCAATTTTATGAACTAATTTTAGTATCTTTATAACAGTATTTTCTCTTTCATTGTGTATTATAGTAAATAAGCTTACTTTATTCATATGTGGTACTTTAAGATTGATAAATAAATGACAAGATATATATTTTTTTATGATTTCTATGACAATGTTTTCAATTGTACATGAACAATTTGTAAATCATTTTATTGTAATTCCATTGCAATATACCCTGAAAAATATCATGCAGTCTGTAAGCGATATAATTTTGGTTGCCACCCATGTGTGTTGTGAGGGGACCTAAAAATGGGAGCTTTAACAATACATAATAAAAGCTGAATCAAAGTAAAGATACTTCAGATATGCTTTTATTTTTAAGATTCCTAGGGTTTTTAGTAAAATTTTCTTTGAAATTTTATAAATATTTTTAAAATATTTAAATTTCAATACCACATGATTGTTGTATTATTGTTTGTTTTTTAAGACATTTCATATGATTTTGTCTAGAAAATGGTTCACTTATACTTGTCCAAACAAGACTAGCAGTTGTGTATTTTATCCTCACTTCCATTGGCATGATTTGGAAATTGTTGTATTTTCGTCCTCACTCAGCAACAATGTTTAAACATTTCTTTATAGGCATTCAGGCAATAATATACAAATAAGAGCTATTAGTGGGGAAAAAGGAAACAAATTGTATTTTTATAGCGAGGGAATGATTTAGATCTCTTGAAAAATAACAGTGTAATGACAGATTGTTTCCTTCACTGGTGGGCATTTTGTCTAGTACACGAATCATTAGTAAACAGTAATTTTATGTTTATAATTTTACTATTTTTCCTTTATTATATACAAAAAGTCATAATTAAATTAACATTATTTTGAAAATGCTGGCAATAAAGCAATTTGTTATATTTATAGGAATGTAGAATTTTAAGATTTTATTTGCATAAAATCCTTTAAACTTGTTACGTATGTTTTGAAATACATTTGTAAATGTAGAATTGTTGTAGATAGTATACAGTGTTTAGTATTATAGAATACTAATTTTATAATTATGATAACAAAATAATGCTTGTTCCTTTTTCTGATGTTTGGTATTTCCTGTTTGTGTTGCTTTATTTTAGTGGACATATGCATAAAGAGAGAAGAAAGTTTTTAAGGACAGCTTTAAAAGAACTGGGTCTGATATTTACAGACCAGCCAGGACTTTTAGGACCAAAGGTATTTTTTGGTTTTTTAACTCTTAGTCTAACAAAAGATTCTTAGCTCAAAAAAAAAGGAACTTGAGGCATATTTGTTGCCACCACTTAAGCTTGTTTGTAATTTGACTTGGAGTATATAGTAACCTCATTTTTTGTTTTGGGAGTTTATTAAGGTAATATAAAATATGGAGTTTGGTATTATAGGTAAATGTTATACCTTTGGTTATATTTTCCCAAAGGCTTTATTGGTATTTGTGGGTCTCTCATTTGCAAGAGACGAGGTACTTTGGTTAGTTCGACATTGTGATAATCCTCCTCCACGCCAAGGAAGGGTCAGACCCCAGACTGAAGACTTACTTGATCGACAACTCCCTGAATTACTTTTTCATATTGAAGAACTACGAGGTATTTATTTTTTCTACAAGTTTTTTCCATTCTTTCATAATGTTTTATTTCCTTATTATTAAACATTACACTTAAATAGTAAGTGTGCAGTTATTCAGCTAATTGTTTATTTCATATCACAGTTTGTTTATATTAGATAATTATTACAGTCATTGCAATATAGATGAGTTATAGCTTTTAACTAATAGAAAGACTGTTCATATCTATACCAACTCATTCATTAGCCTAACATACAGACAACTGATTATTAGGGCCATTGAGGCTGTTCTTGCACACCCACCTTTGACAAATGTAAAAATTCAAACCCACCCTTTTATTTTCATTAAATCATAGATTCCATTTTTAAACTGCTGTAAAGTGCTGGCCTCCTACACTACTGATGGCATCTCATTCCATAAGCCAATCCTTTAAAACAAAATCTGTATTTCAAACCAAAAATGCATCCTTTTGTTCTAGTATTTTCAGAATATAGAACAAATAATTCTATGGCCTTTATCCAAATAACTCTGTGGTCTTTATCCTATTGATCCCCAAAATAATCTTATAAGATTCAATTATATCATATCTTACCCTTCTTTTCTGAAGAGAAAAAAGTACGAGTTCTTAAACTCTTGCAGTAAAATAACCCTATCATCCCAATAGTCTTCTGAGCTTTTTCTAATAAGTCAATATCCTTACTTAGATAAGGAGACCAAAACTGTAGAGTATTCCAAGTGAGGCCTAACTAGTTAATTTTTTAGAGATAATTAACTTTTGGCTTGTAAACAATATGTATAAAATACACATTAAACTTCTATTAGCTTTACTACTAGCATTTCAACACTGTTTCATTGGCTAAGGTGTCTTTCCAAACATGTGCCAAGATCTTTTTCTTCGATCACGTTGTGTGTGTGATTCAAAGTATGATAACCCAAATATAATTAAAGGTCATGTACCAAAATTAGTTAATCCATGGAATGATACCTTATCAAAAGCTTTTTTAAAATATAAGTACATGAAATCAACACCCTATTAATCATCCAGATAACAAGTAGCATCCTTGAAAAAATAGATAACAGATTATCAAAGCCAGATTTCCCTTTGGCAAATCCACCATGTCTTTCTTTTATGATATCATATCTTACTGTAAAGCTTTTATCAGATTTTGTATAATTTTTCCCACTTAATAAGAAACATTATAATTTCCAGGAAAATGTATTACCCTCTTCAAAAACAGGAGTAATAGTTCCAACTATCCAATCCTTTGGCACCTGCCCAGTGTCTACTGAATTACCAAAAATGAAAAAGAAACGCTCCAATACCTAATCTTTGACTTACTTAAAACTTCAGAGAAAACTTTGTCTGGTACTGGTGCATTATTTAAAACTCCAGCCATCTCATAGTCTTCAACAGAAATCTTGCCATCAACATCCGTTAAGAGCACAATCCACATTTTAACTTTATGCTTACATTTAATGTACTTAAGAAATCATTGTCATTAGTTTTAACATAATCAGCCAACTGCTTTTCATAATGCCTTTTAGATTTCCTAATTTCTTTGTCAACCAATTCACTAGCCTTAATATAGTTCTGCAAGTCTTCCAACCTATCAGTTAATCTGAACTTCCTAAACTTATGGCACTTATCCCTGATTTTTTTCCTGTAAGTATTTAGTAAGCTAGTTATTTTTATCTTCCCTGTTAAACCTTTTTCATCTTTTCAAGAACATGCCTGTCTTGAAAATAAACTGCTTTTAATTCAAGACAGGCATGTTCTTGAAAAGATGAAAAAGGTTTAACAGGGAAGATAAAAATAACTAGCTTACTAAATACTTACAGGAAAAAAATCAGGGATAAGTGCCATAAGTTTAGGAAGTTCAGATTAACTGATAGGTTGGAAGACTT